AAACTATAATAGACGAGAATTCAAAAATAGACAGTATCTTCTCTCTTAACCCAACGAGATACATTTTTAAGGACTAAATCGTAACACATGAGAGCTCCAAAAATGGACAATATATCAGACGTGGAAATTGACGCTAACGATGTTATTATAGCGGACATTAGATCGTCTCTCTTAACCCACATAAACACTTTTTAAGGACAAAACCATAACATACTAGAGTTCCAAAACAGACAATATCTCCTCTTTTAATCTACCGAGACGTCTTTTAAGGACAAAATCATAATACACTATAGTTCCAAAATAAACAATATTTTAAATATGAAAATTGACGCTAACAATATTATTACAACGAACATAAGACTTGGACATTTTTGTTCCTAAATAAAACAAAATATAATATAAGATAATTAAAATTATATATGGTGAGATTTTTGTAACATTTTCTTGAAAAACTGTCTCTTGCAATATAATAAAAAATATCAAAAATATATGTTGCGAAATCATTCTTAACCAAGTTTTTTACGAGTTTTTTAAGAACTTAAAAAAAAAAAAAACTTGGAAAACATGTATTTCAGATTTACTTTAACCCAACATGGTCTATCTTCAAAATGACATTTCAAAACCAAAAGAAATGAACTTGCGATATCATCATTCATAATGAGAACTTAGTTTTTAATTTTTGACGTATTCCAAAGTAACAAGGTTACACAGCATAATAGTAGAATTGCTGTTTTAAACAAAAATTCATATTTATGACGAATTTATTTTAATAAAGAATTTTAAAAAATGATTTTTTCTATAGATTAAAATTTATATGTAAATTAATTTATAGATTTTTTTATATATAATTTTTTCAATCTTTTCATATACATAACGTAATTTACTTATAAAAAAAACATTTTTATATATTTTACTCTATTGGAGATTTTTATGAAAAATGTTAAAATAAGATAGATGCAATAGTTTCTCTCAAAATTGGTAATACGAATTGATAATTTTGATTCATCAACCCCGTTTTGATTCATTTTGTTTAGTCTATCAACCCAATTGATTAAAGATAGAAATTGGGTAGATTGACATACTTTTAAAATATATTTATATATTAAAATTAAAATTAAAAATATTATAATTAAAAATGTTATATTTTTTATATTATTAAAATATTAAAATGTATTATAATATTATAATTTAATTTATAAATATTAATTAATTAAATTTAAATTATTCATTATAATTAAATATTTTAATATGTAAATGTAGTATTTTTTTCTCAATTTATCTAATAAAATTATTAATTGATAAATAATTATATATATATATATATATATGTATATATAAAAGAATTTTATGAAAAAAATTACCTGAATAAACTACTAAATGTCCTTTAAGAGAGTTAGACGAATAAATCCATCTCATCCCAATTCTTTACGAAATAGAAACGAAACAAACAAACTAATCCAATTTATAATCTTAAAAGAAAAGAAGATAGGAAATCCCTTTTTTTTTTTTTTTTTACTGTTGAGAAGTTGAAAGAGTTAGGGAATGAAAAGGTCTTAATTAGCTCCCAGAAAGAACTTGGTCCACCAATTTCAGTGCCTCGTCAATTCAAACAGGTACAGGGATTTCCCAGTGATTGCACTCCTCAAAATCCAAAGACAAGCAGTGGAGTTAGTGTTTTTATTATTATTATTACTTAATAAAGAAACCACTTTTTCCAAAGTGAAAAGAACCATGAGAAATGTTTGTACTTTTAAAATGTTATTGTAATCACTTTTTCGTTTTTTAGTATCTTGCAACAAAGAGATTCCCTTTTAAAAGAATGGTTAACCCATGATTGATGGTGTAGGGGCAACATTTCCTTATTCCTTTTTTTTTTTTTGTGATCATAAAAAAACACAGCGAAGCATGGAACAATTTCAGGGATTGATTCATCCATTGTTCATATACACTACTTTTTTTCTTCTTGGCATAAACACCAAACTTTAATTTTACCAAATGAATCTTATCACGGATTATATCTTTTTACACCATTTTTTCTTAATAGTTTTTCAAATATTAAATTTGAGTGACTAAAACTAACATTATCTTAAACTTGATGAATAAAAATATATTCAAAAACCGTAAAATTATGTACACATATATTGACAAAAATAATTTAATTTTTTAAGAAATAAAAGAATTACCATAAAATTTAGAATGAACCTTCTCTATTAATCAAACCTTTTCAAGGGAAGCAATCAAAGCTTCCTACAAAACCAATTACTAAAGACTTTGGGAGGAAGTAAGTGGGGCAATTTTGTTTTTGTTAGCGTTGCTTTCACACACAAACAAGACTACATGGGAAATCACAACATGTTTGTCCACAACACAACCAATATTGTTCACACATGTTGTGTCGCTATTTAACTTTAACCAAATACAATTAGTTGTGCCAGTAATAAGCACAGTTAATTAATTAGTATTAATTATTCTTTAATTTGTATACAAAGATACAAAATAATAAATGTTTTTTTTATTAACTAGTTTTTCTCGTTTTTTTTTCATTTTCATTTTATTATTTATTATTCATTACAGACAAGTAAATTCTTTTTTGATAATTTTTCTTTAAAAGAACAATGATAGTGTGATTTCAACCGTATTTTAACGAAATAATATGATCTTACTTTCTAATAGTGTTAATAGTTTTTTTATTTATGATTAAAAATGCTATTTTTATTATAATATTTAAAATATGAACGAATAAAATTATTATATTTATTTTAATTTTTAATGATATTTATTACTTAATATTTTTTATTATTAATAAGAGTTATGAATCTCTTTTATAAAAATATACGATATTATAAGAATAATAAAACAGATTAAGTTGAGCAGGTAAAATGGACTAATATATATTTTAAAAGATATTTACATGTTAAAAATAAAATAAAATAAATTATAATTTAAAATATTATATTATTTTATTATATTTTTATTAAAATATATAAACAATATTATGATATTTAAATTTAAATTATAAATATCATTAAATTAAATTTAAATTATTAATTTATAATTTTAATATTTTTTAATTATCTAATAAAAATAATTAAATAAATACATTTTTTTAATATTTATATAATTAAATATATGTTTTTTTAATATATAAAAAATCTATAAATAAAAAATATCAATATATTAATATTTAGATTAATTTTAATAATGACTGATTAGTCCACTTAACCCATTTTTAACTATTTAAGTTGTGAGATTATTAATCACTTTTATCCTTTTATTTTTCATCTAACTTAGTTTGTATTACTTATATTTTAAAATTAATAATTAAATTTAAATATATAAATTTAATCTTTTTATTATAAAAAATATTATTAAAATATAAACTGAATATAAAGAATAACAAAAATTACGTTTAATTTTTCTATAAACTCTATCCAGATAAAAAGTTGCCATTAAAATTAATTTAGATAAAAAAATTACATATTTTTTAAAAAAATTGTAATTAATTCATGATTTTAAAACACAAAAACTAAAATAAGGTTAAAAATATATAAAAAAATAAATACATACAATAATCTTAAAACTATATTCGTTATAAAATGAACATAGTATTTTTAAATAGAAGTGAATGTTTTTATTAGACTAATTTTTTCTTGAATTTGAGTTAAAAAAATTAAATAACCTTAATTAAATGAAGGAATAATCTAACAAAATAAAATAAAATAAGATGTACATGGAGACCAACAATTCGAAACTCAGGCAAAAGTTATCTAGTTTAGAAATTCCATGTAAACGTCTCCTTTAACCAATAAAAATAACGGTTTATGAAAGTATATGATAGAAAATAGCCGTTATTTTCTTACAAAATCATTATTATCAATAAAAATAATAAAACTGTAATCTATCTATAAAAACATTACATAAAATTATTTAATCTCTTAAAAATATGAAACACGTTCAATATTCACAAAACAAAACATGTTAAGCTAATCATGACTTCAGAAATTTATTCCCAGTGTAGCTGAGAAGCTTTTCCATCAAGGAACGGTCACGCCATTTAGCAAAAGAAAAAGGTAGAATTTCAAAGGGCATTTACGAGGACCTAAGAAAAAAGTGTCCACTAACTCGTTTTATTCTTTTCGAGAAAACGTAATTCCGAAGATTTCATACTAATCTGCCAAGTGCCACTTAAATAATAAATAGTTGCCATCTTTGCGATGCGTGTTACCGTATATAGGAACCACGCTTCCATGTTCGTAGTTAAGCTAGAGTAATCGAACAAATTATATATAAACATTCAATAAGAATATCATTATACTAAGAAATTAACGTTAAAAGTCTCTTGTTCTGACAGTGATACTCTAATTTTTTATTACTGCCCAAATTTAACTTTAACAGACAAATTGTTATTTTTAAGTTATAAACATAACCAATGACTACTCAATTAAATAATGCGTGAAAATTGCGATAAAATCTAGGTATCCGTGTTCAAGTCCATAATATACATCAAAATATTCGTATGTATGTCATATTCATGTTAAGTATAAACATTAATAATCTGCACTTCAAATGGTGAGTTAGTTATTGTAAAATAATTTACATATGATTTTTATCTCATGGATATAAATAAGTGAAAAATAATCTCTTATTTGAGGCTCGAGCTAATAGAAAAAGAAAACTTACGCGTAAAAATTTCGTTCAAAAATAAAAAAGTGCGATGTAATTTTTTCTAATTTGAGCTTCAAACCGAGGGCATTTAAGTTTCAAACTAATTCAAAGAAAATTCACAGTAGCAAACTCCAGATGTACGGCATATAAAAATTTAATTTAAAAAAAAGCAGCACAAATCTAAATATAAAAGAAATCCATTATGTACTAGAAACAATGATCACAAGAACAACAACAATACAACTAAAATCATCAAAACAATATAGATCCAGCAATCAACATATATAATCTCTACATAGAGATATGAATAGAGAGAAAGAGATAATTATATACTAATGCTACTCAAATCTCCACTTCTACTAAAAATTCACACAGATAAGACAAAATCCATCAGCCACGCTCAGATCCGGAGAGAAGATCCAAAGGCGAGAGCCGAAACGGCGGCGACAACACCGGCAACAAAGGACGGTGAAACCGCAGCGGCGGGAGACGTCGGACTCGGAGCCGGAGCGTCGGCGGCTGAGATGACGGCGACGAGCACCGACATTACGGCGATGAACATTGCTTTGGAAAAAGCCATTGGTGTTATCGCGCTGTTTCTGCTTTCGGTGCTTAGGGTTTGGGTTTCGTTGGGCAGTGAGACTTCGTTTTGGGAAGAGGTGAAAATGGTGGTTTATATAGAAGGAGGAAGGAGAAGTTACGGGCAGTTCGGGTAGCTGCCCGAAGTACAGACTGGCGATAGGTCCGTTGCCAGCTGGATCTGCTGCTGTTCTGAAAAATCAAGTTTCACATGAATGACTATTTTGCAACGACGCCGTTTCACTTGAAGTTCCTTGTCCCACTTGCTCTCGCGTTCTCTTCTTCGTGTACAATAGTTAATTAGAATAAATAGCATATGTTGATAATAATAATTTAAATTTTTATTCTATCCGCTCATGTTAATTACAACAAAGTATCTCTGTATAAGATATGATGGGATTTTCTGAATGTACATATATTTATATTTAATTATACTAAAATTCATATTATATATATATATATATATATATATATATATATATATATATATATATATATTTTGAATGTGAACTTCCTTTTATTTATATTTTTTTTTTCATCATGTTGCATTCTTTCTTTCTTTTTTCATTATTTCTTTCTTTTTCTCTCAAAACTCTTCTTATGTCCCTTTTTTCTCGTTTGTATTTTCGTTTTATGGTGTATTAATGAGATTAAGCACATTTTTGTATGTAAACTATTTTTATACTACTATTTATTAACATGACATAAATGCACACAAATAAGTACAACATCTTATATAACTTTATTTTATTTTATTTTCATGATAATCAATTTTCTACTTAATGAGTGTAAGAAGTTTATTTTTGGGGTTTTACATTGTAATAATTTTTTCTTTCAATTCTTATACTTAAAAATGTTTGATTTTACTCTCTATTTACAATGTTTTGCATTTTGTCTTCAAATATCAACCAAGGCATTTTAAAATAAAGGTCACATAGCTTAGGTAATTAATTTTTTTCTCTAAAATATCCTAAAACGACTTTATAAATAAAATAATTTAAAATAGAAAGTTATAACATCAAATAATTTAAAATTTATTTTTTAGTTAAAAATAATTTAAATATAAAAACTCTTATATTTCAATTTTCTTTTAAATTATCATATTTTTAAACTTCAAATTTTCTAATTTTTCTTTAAAAAAATTCCACTTAAATTTTATAATTTTCTAGATTCAAACATATTTTAATGCTCTAAGGAGAAAGTAAAGATTTCTATCTTATTAGAATATTTAGTAGGATAAATTTCTCTTTACTCATTTCATAAGATTTGTTGCATACAATGTTTGGAGTAACATGTATCCTAAAATCTTCTTTCACGTGTTTAGAAAAAGAAAACATCTTTGTTAATCTAACATCTTTATTTATTTATTTTTTTGTAAATTAGGTCATTTTAGAGCAAAATTTTGTAAAGCTAGGTTTTGAATTGAGAATTTTAGAAGAATTTTAAGAGAACCCAAATTAATGTAAGTGAAGTTAGAAACTCCATATTTAGTATGTTTGAATGTGTTATAATTATTTGATCACAATGAGTGTAGAATTAAGTAATTTGTTTGGTTTCGGAATAGAAAATATCTTAAAAAGTTATGTAAAGTTTTTATTTGTCTATTTTTTTTTCTTAAGCAACCAAAATCTTCATAATAAAAAGGTTGAATTTAGATTCATTTTCAGTCAAGTGAGATGATATGTAAGAGAGAAACTTAGAATTATCATATTCTCGCTCATGCAAGAGACATTTTCAAAGATTAAAAGTGTTTTTTTTTTTTTATAAATTTTAGCTGAAGATAGAATTTTTGGAGAAAAACATAAATTTTTAAGAAAAATGTTGTTTAACTTATAAATTAAAATATTTTACTTAATATGACATATATATTATGTATGGTTGAATGAGATGAAGAATGATTTGAAAATTTATTTTATGGATAACTTAAAAAATCTATTTATGTTAAATATATGAGATATGTACATTATGTTTTGATATATAGTGTTAATTAACATAGTAATTTTCAATACAAAATGCTAAATGTTAAGATGTAGATAATATATTAAATTTGAGATTTTTGAGATATTTTAACTTTGTTTCTATCAAATGTGAGAGGTGAAATAAATCTTTATTATGACATAGATTCCAAAGATAATTAGTCTTATAAATCATAAATATCAATCATATCTTATAAAAATAATTATTCTAATTATATATTTATATCAGAGATATCTACTTCAAAAAATTAATATGAATACGTATCTTTAACTTCAATTTAACAAGTTTTTTAAAATAGAATTTCGTCTTTATAATTATGAATGTCTATATATAATGATATGTAGTCTTTAGATAAAGAGATTGGATAATTTTTTTTTATTATTATAAATGAATGATTAAATAAAAAAATATGAATATGATAAAAATGATTTTACTAACTTAATATAATAATTTACATTATTATAATCGTATTTTTATACATGAGTAAAGGATATTTCAAATTACTTTTCACATAATTGATATATTGTGGGAGAGATGTGATAAAATTAAAAATATAACTTTTTTATTTTTTGTTGTAATATATATATATATATATATATATATATATATATAAACTCCTAATGAAATATTTTTTTAAAATACTTATATATATAATATAAATAGTTGAAAATATTTATATTTTTGAAATGTAATTATTGCCGTAACGATACAACCTTTTATCAATTTTAATAAATTTCTTAAATCTATCTAAACATATCTTATATATATTAGATTGAAATTAAATATTTATTAATGCAGCTGACTGGCTTTAGAGAAAATATTATTAAAGAAACATATAATTTTGTAAATCTGAAATTTCTTTTAATATTTAAAAAATATATGTATATTATTAATATTTATTCAACAAATGCACCAAATTTGTACAAATATAAATATAAATCTTATCTTATTAACGGAACATAGATATCATGGGCTGGTTTTTTTATTATGTTATCTCATTTTAATCAACTAAAAATTAATATTTATATTAACTTTAATTATATTTTAGAATAACATAGTTATCATTAAAAATTAATCAAGATGAAGTTGAGGTGGATTTGATTTTAAAAATTTATACGTTGATTATTTGAAATAAAATAGGTAACTACATCGACGTATTTTTAATATTAAAATTTTTTATGTATAGAATATTGTATTTTATGAAATTCATATTAGTTAAATTTTTTAATTAAATTGTGGTTCATAATAAGAATCTTTGAAATATTTTTTCTTATACCTTTCCAGTCGACCAAGAGAAAAAAATGTTTAACAACATTTGATTAATAAAGTAATATTGCTATTATTTTTTAAAATAATTTTTATTTCTAACTCTAAACAATTTTGTAATAAAGAATAAACATTTTTCCTTAAAAAGTTCTTAAGAATTACTAATTTATGTTTCATTAAATAATTAATTATTTTTACTTGATAAAATACATTGTTATTTTACGTGAAATAAGTAATTATTCGATTTACTATTAATTTATTTTTTCATCAAATAATTAATTAGTTTTATTTAATAAAAGATAAAATAATTTATAAAAGAATAAAATAGATTATAGATATTTTATGCATTTTTAAAAAACTTTTAAGTTATTAATCATTAAACAAAGTAACTTTTTACATTTTAAAAATATTAGATATATTTATTTGTAAGGTTTAATTATGTTTTACTATTCCTAATAGAACGATTCTCATTTTAATCTCTCAAATTTTTAAAAAAATTAAAAAATTATTTTAGTTCTTTAAAATTAAAAAATATATATTTAATATTTAAAAAATAAATTTGAAAGATTAAAAAATATATTTATATGTTTAAATTTAATTTCAAAAATTAAGTTTGAATTATCATTTTGGCTATTTAATATAAGGTAAGTCGTGAGGTTCCCTTTAAAAGTAAATAAATAAAATATTTATACTTTGCTTAATTCATATAGAAATAAATATAATATTACTTATTTTATTTTTAAAAAGCAAGATGTTAAATTTCAACAGTATTAATCATGAAAAAAACTGATAAATGTTTGGCTTGAATTACATAATTAAAAAAATATTTTAACTTTAAATTGTTTCCTCTAAATTATTTTACCAGTAGTTTAAAATAACATGGATATTTTAAGAGAAAGTGATTATATTAATTTTCATAATAAAATAATTGTAATAGAAATAGCATACCTTTTATTTTATCAATTATTAATTAAATTTTAAGTTGTTATTGGTAGAAACTAATAATATTTTAAAAGTAAATCTCTTTTAATATTAAAAAAAATCAAATGATTCCAAAGAGTTATTTTTTATTTTTATTTAAAAACTTAAAACACCTCCATCTTTCTTTAGAACATAAGAAAATTATTTAAAAAATATATGTAAGAGAATACTATAATTTTTTTTAATAAATAATGAATGCTGGTATTAATTGAATTGAAAATAATGCATTTTCTATTTAATAATAAATTATATTAATATATTGTGTTGCGCACTTTATTTATTCACAATGTTAGCGCCACGTGTGGATTGAACAGGGATGTTGGGTTTTGTTTACCGGCTTTGTTTGTTTTATTATGAAGCATTTTTTTTATTTTTAATTCATAGGCCCAATAATGAGATTCAAACCTATATTACTATTTAGCTCGTAAAAAAGTTGTACATAATGTTATGTTACTATTTACCTCATGCGACTTATGTTTATGAATTTAGTGTATCAAATATTCTATTCTCCCACTTTTAACCTTGTTTTTTTATTATTATTATTATGACAAATGACGAAAACAGAATTTTACCAATTTTTTCATTTATAGAATATTTTTTTTAATTAAAATTAATATTTAAAGAATTACATATACTTATATATTTATGTAACTACTTAAAAAAAAACTGAATCCTTTTATTATTTCAAATGAGGCTATTATACAGCCAAAAATAAATATATAAGAATTGGTGTTCCACGTAACCATATTAAAATAAATTATTCCTAGAAATCAGGGCTTATTAAATAGAAACTGAAACAACTTCAAAATATTAAAAAATTGTTTTAGTTCTTCCCTTAAACTGACTACAGTATGCACTTAGCTTATTTCAGCAAAATCAAATATTTTCATCTTCTTTCTGCGCCCCTGGAAAG